AATATTTGGCTGTAATGAGTGGAGCTACGCGAGTACGCACTTAAACAAAAAGGCTATTTTTATAGCCACATATCTTTTAAAAACGGCGTTGTGCGCATTAGAACAAGACCGCTTGTTATATCGTGTGTGAAATTATAGGTTTTTACCTAATTATTGCTTGTAAACATGGATTTTTTGAAACAGGCTTGGAAATTCTTATTAAATATTTCTGTTAAGCATATTTTTTTATTAAGTTTGTTTTTTATATTTGAGAAATTGTTCGATAGATTTGGCTTTAAGATATATAGTTTGAGCCTATCTGATAAAACCTCATTTGTTTCGTTCTTTTTTTATATCTTCTATAGGAGTCGATAAGTAATAACACGAATAGCTTTTTTTTTAAATGTTTTTTTAGGTTTTTAAATAAACCTAACTCCCTTGTCACAGAACCCTGCGGAAGATCATTTGACTAGGAAATTCAAAAAGGGTTTAACGAGAGTTCAAAATTCGTTTTGAACCCTGGATCTTTGGTTTTAAATTGTTCTTTGTGTGTCAAAACTGTATATGTATCACTGACTTTACCTTTTTCGAAGACCTTGGCACGCTATATTATTCTAGTTTCTCTGTATCCACTCGATATGGTCTATCAAAACGTCATACTCTTAAGTTCTTTTTTTTTTTTATTATACGATAACAATAAAATCTTGACTATAACTAAATGCAGTTTGTTTAGAACAAATAAACAACCCCCAAAAAATGTGCTTTATTTTGCGGTTCTTATTCAAGATTACAGAAACATTTTGGTACCCGTAGATACTAGAATACATAGTGAAAAAACCACCTGACTCCCCGATCTTTTCGGGAAAAAGTTCTGTTACAAAATTGTCTAAGAAAATACAATAGAAAATATTTATTTAGATATATTACTAATAATGTAGGGTAAGGCGGGGTGAATTCGTCACGGAGCGAATCCGTCACTTATGCGACTCAGCTTTAAAATAATAATGCATAAAAACTAAGAAATCTATGAACTAGGTTTTTTCGAAACTTTTTCAACTGATATTTGTAGAATATTACTAAATAAATGTTTTATATATTTACCTCCGATTATTCTTTAAATATTGCAAATAAACATTGAAGTTGAAAAAATATTTTTCTGCTTAAATGCCTATCGTCAAAAAATTATCAAAATACGCAATGTTTTGACCACAAAGTATATATCTTTTGATTGATTGATGTCAGTAGTTTTTAAATAATAATTTAAGTTACTATGTTTTTGCCTTTGGAATCGTCACGTAATGATTGTTAGCACATGCTCAAATGAGGGGCAACTTCGTCGTTGAAGAAAAGTTAATACGAAAAATAAATACACGGATTTATAGTCTCAGTTCCGTTCCGCAAATTATCACAAATATGCTTGCTAAAGTAAAAACTTCGAGCAAAAATATAAATGTGGAAAGTATATACAGGCAAATTCCTAGAGGGCTATGACTATTATCTGTAGATGACACTGTCTTATGTTTTAAATACTGTTTTATGTTATTTTTACTTCCTAATAATTTATTAATATGAGTGTAATAGAAAAGTTTATGGCATGTATTGAAGCATTTTTTTGATTAAGTAAAGAGTTGGTTTTAAAGATTGCCTTAAAAATCAATCTATTATACTATATATCCTATTATACTATATATCATATCATACTATATATCTTATCATACTATATGAATATATATATATATATATATATATATATATATATATATATTTATATAGATATATATTCATATAGTATGATAAGATATATAGTATGATATGATATATAGTATAATAGATATGATATATAGTATTATACTATATATCATATCTATTATACTATATATCATATCATACTATATATCTTATCATACTATATATCTTATCATACTATATGAATATATATATATATATATATATATATATATATATATATATATATATATATATATATATATATATATATATATTAAAAATATATATTAATATATATATATATATATATATATATATATATATATATATATATATATATATATATATTAATATATATATATATATAAATATATATATATATATATATATATATATATATATATATATATATATATATATATGTATATATATATATATATATATATATATATATATATATATACTATATCTATATATATACTATATATCATATCATACTATATACCCTATTATATTAAATATATATATATATATATATATATATATATATATATATATATAGTATATATATATATTTAATATAATAGGGTATATAGTATACTATATACCCTATTATATTAAATATATATATATAGTATATATATATTTAATATAATAGGGTATATAGTATGATATGATATATAGTATACTACATATCATATCATACTATATATCCTATCATAATAAATATATATATATATATATATATATATATATATATATATATGTATATATATATATATATATGTATATATATATATATATATATATATATATTTATATATATATATATATATATATATATATATATATATATATATATATATATATATATATATATATATATATATATATATATTATAAATTAATTTAATTTATTTAATAGCATTCTAAGTAATGTATTCTTATAAAAGTCATTATGTCACAGTCTCCTTCTCAACAAGCTAATGTTCAAAAGAACGAGACCAAAGATTTAGGAATATTAGAACTGGATGACTTTAAAATGTGGAGCTCAATAGCCTTAAAGTCATTTTTATCCTTGAGGAAAAAATCTGTCATTGGCTCTACAGAAGTATTAGTTGCAAGGTAAGCTTTATTTAAATTTTAGTTTTTTTAATTTTTGTTGAAATTTTATTTACTTCGCTAGCAAAAAAAAAAGGTTTTTATTTTTAAAAGCTACCAATAGCTGACTATATATTTTATTTGTAATTACTTTGAAATATATATGATAAATTTAGAGCATTCTCTTGCTATGAAGAAAATGTACCAGTTGACCACAAGCAAGAGCATACTCAAAGAGTTTTGTTAAAAGAATACAAAGACAAATTGATTATAGATGGTGAAGCAGTACCAGATCCTATGGACTTTTCTAAATTATGGATTGGAGAAGATAAAGGAATGATTTATTGGCCAAGACTCTATTTTACGGACATTTCTAGATTTTATAGTGATGTGATTGGTAAACGAAATCTTATAGAACGATTAGAATCTGAATATAAACAAGGAAAAGCATACCGTTATTTTTCAAATAGTTTTATTGGAGAAGTCATGTACAATAATATAAACGATTCTTCACTATTTTGTTTGTTCAAAACAAAATGCATGCCTTCTCAACGTGTCAATATGAAACAGTATGATGTCTGGATTATTGTGCGAAAAGACAAAGGTAATATTATTGGTGGTGAAGTTAAAAATGCTTACTGTACTTGTACTGCAGGACTATTAGGAAGCTGCAATCATGTTGCAGGTTTATTATTTCGTATTGAAAGTGCAGTTATTACGGGTGTTTCTAACCCAACATGCACCAGCTTAAAAGCTTCTTGGAATGTCCCCAGTAAAAAGAAACTAATTGAACCAGGACTGGTATCGAATTTTGTTTTTACCCAAGACTCATACTTGAAAAAGTCAGTACAGAAGTCAACTGAGAAACGTAAAAGTGCAGGTCAATTTAAAATAAAGTTCCAAGTAATGTCTGATAGCCAGAAAAAAGTTTTAAACAATGGTGATATTGTAAGAAGCGAGCTATTTAATGAAATCCAAAATATTATTCCTAATTCTTGTTTTGTAGAGTTGACTGAGCAAAAGAAAAAACAGCATATTCCTTCAGTAGCTTTAGATATTCCATCTTTGAAAGAATTTGCTAATCTATTTAAAACAAATTTGGATCAAGATGAAATCTTCTTTATTAACGATATGTTTGCTGATTCAATTTATTTGACTGATAATGAAATTAGAGCTATATATAATGCTACAAAAGATCAAGCCAATAGTACTGAGTGGTTCAAATATAGACAGGGCAGATTAACTGCTTCCAAATTTAAAAGTATTGTTAATTGTGCCAAAAGGTTGCGTAATAATACTAATGAGAAATGTCCTAAGTATATTGTTTCATTTATTATGGGTTATGATACAGTTAATCCAACATGGCAAATGAAACACGGGATAAACAATGAGTTTCATGCAAAAGCAAAATTTAAACAAATTTTTCGTAAATCCCATAAAAATTGTAAATTTAATGACCCAGGAATGACAGTAATGAAATCGCATCCATTCATTTCAGTAACACCTGATATGGAAATAGAGTGTTTATGTCATGGTTCAGGCCTTGTTGAAATCAAATGCCCAGCCTCAATAATTGGTAAAGTTCCTCATCCAGAAAATTATGCCCATATTGAAGAAGCTAATGGAATAATAAGTTTGAAGAAGAACAGTGAGTATTATTTTCAAATTCAAGGTCAGCTTGGTGTCACACAGAAGAAATATTGTTATTTTTTTATTTTTTCATTTCATGGTAATTTAACTGTGCGAGTTCCATTTGATGAGGAATTTTGGAGTTACATGATTGATAATTTAAATTGGTTTTGGAGAAGTCAAATTGCTCCAGAATTACTAGACAATGAAGTTGAAAAAAATATTAAACTAATTAATGAAGAAGACATTATTATCGTTAAAAGAAATGTCACAACATACATTGATCTATCATTAGAAAATATTAGCAGCTTTACAAATTTTTCTCAGCCATTAAATGAAAATAATATTGATTTTGAAATAATACTTCAATAAGAGTTTCTTAACCCAATCATGTCTATTTTTTTCATTCTCAAATCATTCTTAACCAAATCAGTCTAATAAATATTATTGATTATATATTGTAACATTGTTTTTCTGTTTATTTCTGTATTTGGCACCTAACTTTCAATATGTATAATGTGACCAAATAGTTGTTAGGTGAACTGTCAGGGATTGATACGCAGGGGGGGGGGGATGTTAAATGAGGAGGTAATTTTCCTCAGATAGATGGGGGTGAGAGGAGGGAGAGTAATTTGTATGTTTGAATTTGTTAGGCCTGAAAAAACTGAAAGTTTTTATTTTGATCAGTGAAATTATGTTTTTATAATGAAATTATAATTTTTTGGGCATGATGAAGGGGTAGGCTGGGGTGTCAATTATTCATAAATCTTTATAATCTTTAAAACTCTATACAGCTTTGTTTGCTTTTAAAGTTAAATTTGCATATTTTTAAAGGAAGAAGTACCTAAAACAGGCAGGTTTTTTTATGTCCCCTCTTGACAATTTGAGGGTCCATAAAAGTGCACCCCCTTAATTCAGCTCTTTTTACCACCACAACGTCTGTGATAGTAGCACGCAAAACTTATTTCTCCGCGCAGCGGCCTTGTCGGAGTTTGCTCCAGAGTTAAGAGCTGAAATTAGGGTGGTTGAAATATTTTGGACACAGTTTTTATTAGGGCTTTCATAGGAAATGTTTATTATACTATATACTATAAGAAAAAAAAAAGATGTGTACATTATTAGTAATTTTAGTCATCATGCAGAGACAGCAAAAAGGCGCCTAATGCAGCAAACATTTGTTTGCGGTGTGACAGATCTACTTTGACATAAAAAGTTTGAAGAAAAAAACGGGATGCCTTTACAAAGGTAGAACACGACTGAGTACAATCCATTGGAGGGACGATGCTTCTAGAGAAGTTCTTAGAAGGTTCGTTCCTTGAAAGTTTTTTATGATTATATATATAAGCAGACAGAGCTCAAGTAAAGTTGACGCAGTGGCTTAACTATAAATTTGGACTCCCCCGCCAAATTGTTTCTCCCAGTTTAGATTTTTTCAAAACATATTTAAGAATGAAATATCCAATATTTGCTTTTTATATTAAATTAATATAACACGATTAAGTCTATAAAAAATTACTAATTATTATTACCAAAAAGCCACAAACGCCGCCTAATTTTTCGTTTTTGGAGTAATGAAATTAAAAAAAAAAACATTGTTGACGTCAACTCAGTGGCGTAACTAGGGGGTAGCAAAACCCCGCGAGGCGGGTGGGCTCCGGAGCTTAGAGGGCCCCGCGGAGATTTACAAACTTTACTCATATGAATATATTATTCATATGAGTAAAGTTTGTAAATCTCCGCGGGGCCCTCTAAGCTCCGGAGCCCACCCGCCTCGCGGGGTTTTGCTACCCCCTAGTATTCCACTGAGTTGACGTCAACAATGTTTTTTTTTTTAATTTCATTACTCCAAAAACGAAAAATTAGGCGGCGTTTGTGGCTTTTTGTCTATATTAGAGAGGGGGGGGGGGATGTAATCAAAAATGGACGCAGTTTTATAGGGGGGTCTCTAGAAATTTGACAAATTGTTGACAAGAGGGAGGGGGTAAAAATTTCAAAAAACTTGTTAACGTTATTATTGGATAGCCCCTCAGAAAATTAAAATACATTTCATTTGGCTAAGTTATTTGAATTATAAGGGTTTAAAAACTAAAAAGTAATGCAGCAGTTGAGTAGTGTTACAACACTTGACTAAGAGATTACTATTAGACCCCACCATATGCCTCTAGAAATTTTTTAGCAAATAAGCTTTTATTAGACAAGGTTATTTATTTTTTCTATGCAAAATAAATAAAAAAAGATATAGCATACATTATATATAGCATAAAGAGATATAGCACACAATACAATAGCATAAAAAGATATAAGATACAATATGTTCTAAGAATAATTCTAAATTAGTCTGAATAAATTGGTTTTTTAAAATTATATAATGCAGCACATACAACTAAAATATCATCAACATGAGAGAGCATAGATATCGGTATCTCATTTGCAATGATTTTGAAAGTTTTGAGTCTTCTTATGACTTGCTCAACTAAAATTCTAACTTTAGCAATATTGCTAGTTTTTTTAATTTCACCTGGAGTCATCTGAGTTGCACCACGTTTACCTGGTGGAACTAGAAAATACAACGATCTAGCAGCACATTCATCATATAAACTAAAACCTTTATCTGCCATTAATGTGCTGTATTTTGGTAAAATATCTAAAAACTTAGAGTCTATTGTAATTTTTTTATCACTAATTCGTCCTGTGTAAGCTTTTGAAATAAATGTTATACTTGAATTAGGAGCAATTGATATTAAAAATTTTAATGTGTTGTGGTGCTTGTAATCTGACCATGTGACACTTTGTAACGCTAAATTTTTCGGTGTTTCAATAAAAATTTCTGAGCAATCTATAATTGATGATAAATTATCAAACTTTTTATATCTTTGAGGTGTTGTAGCAAGTATTGCACCCATATCTGGCATAAAAATGAAATTCTTGAAATACTCAGACATTCCTCTTATCCAACTATGGAAAATTTTGGAGCATAATCCTTCGGAAACTCCGAATCTATCTGCTAAGTCTTTATTTAGCAGACCAAGTCGCAACTTCATTAATGTTAATAAAAACTCATCAATAGAATTTATTTTTGTTTTGGGGCCCATTTTCTGTGGTGTCAATTTAAATAATCTGGGGCAAACATTGTCAGAATTTTGTGGGAGTCTTCTTTTTATTAGTGGCATAATTTTGTCATGCAATTTATGAAACAACTCAATTTGAGCTATGTTTGTATAAAATTTACAGTTGTTTTCATTAAGTAGTTTTTTGAAAATTGGCTCTTTTAGGTTTTTCTTCAATTGCTCAATTTGGGAATGTAAATTTTGTATGCAGCATAACAATGTGTGTATAGTGGACACTAATGCTACTATAAGAACAAAAATATCTTGTATAGTCAATGATTTATTTGCATTTTCCCTATCATTTTTAGTGTACTCAAAACATATATCTTCAAATTCCAGCGACTCATTTTGAATACTGCTTTGACCTTGCTCATCGTTTTTCAAATTACAGCTTGAAGTTTCAATAAATTTTTCTTTTATTGCATTTTCAGGCTCATGACAAATGCTAACAGAATTAACTCTAGACTTTTTTGTGAAAGGAAATAATTGCTTAGATGGAAAACGTCTCTTACTTAGAACAGGAGAAAACAAAGCCTCTCTTTTCTTTGAATCGTATCCTAGATTTATAGTAGGATTCGGATGTTCATCGGTTGGTCGACTATCAGTAAAATGAATGGAGCACACACACGCATCTTTGCTTGGTTGCCATAATTTATCTGTTACTGTTTTTCTATTTATAAGTTTGAGCCACTGATCACGACGCTCTGCATTTTTTTTAATATTGGGAAATTTGTTGAACCTATAAAATAATCATTTATATTACAAACACCAGTATATTAACAGCGAATTTATTCAATCATTAGTTAACTTACAAAAAAGGTTTTAAGCAAGTACAAAGACCTTCAGAACGAACACAACCATGTTGTTGACACATTTCCTTGTCCCATTTTTTAAGCTTGCAGTTTGTATTTTTACATCCAATAACAACACAAGTGTACGCCATATTAAATTTTATTATCTAAACAACTTTATTAACTAAAATATAATTATATATATACAAACAAACACAGACACACACACAAACACACACACACACATATATATATATATATATATATATATATATATATATATATATATATATACATATATATATATATATATATAAATATATATATATATATATATATATATATATATTATTATTGTTTTTGAAGTGCCTTGAAAATCATCCCATCATACTATATATCATATCATACAGTATGATATGATATATATCATATCATACTGTATGATATGATATATAGTATGATAGCTAAATATATATATGACATGCTAAAATTATGCTAAAATCTATATAATATATATATATATATATATATATATATATATATATATTCATATAGTATGATAAGATATATAGTATGATATGATATATAGTATAATAAGATATATAGTATGATAGGATGATTTTCAAGGCAATCTTTAATACCAACTTTTTACGTAATCAAAAAAATGTTTCAATACATGCTATAAACTTTTCTATTACACTTATATTAATAAATTATTAGGAAGTAAAAATAACATAAAACAGTATTTAAAATATAAGACAGTGTCATCTACAGATAATAGTCATAGCCCTCTAGGAATTTGCCTGTATATACTTTTCCACATTTATATTTTTGCTCGAAATTTTTATTTTAGCAATCATATTTGTGATAATTTGCGGAACGGAACTGAGACTATAAATCCGTGTATTAGGTTGTTTCATCATGCAAATTTTTAAACTACCGAGCGCCGTTTGAAAGAAAAACAAATTGTGATCAAAATGCGCTCCAAAGCTTTAGACATTTGTAAGAGAAAGGCTCTTCAGAATATATTAATTTACAGTTAGCTTTTAAAACTTTTTGAAGTTTTAATTATAAACACGACTTTGATGTGAAACATGTAAACAAACTTATTATAATGTATAGTCTGAAATATATATACAGTAAATAATAAGTATATAAAACATATATGTTATATATTTTTAGGCTATGCACTGCCTATTTTTATACATATTTAAAATATGTATAAGTATTAAATATTGTTAAAATATTATTGAAATTCAATAAATATTATTAGAATAGTTAATATTATTTACTAATTTTACATTAAAATAAGACTTTTATTATATATTATATAGCAAAGATCTTATTCTATTTTAAAAATATATATAATATTATACTATTTAGTATAACTATTATATATTGTAAAAAGTAAATAGTAAGTATATAGTATAAAATGTGTGTACAGTATAAAATATCTGTTATAAGTATTTTTTGTAGTATTTATTATAAACAAATGTATCATTCATTGGAAAATATAAAGCATTTATATATATATATATATATATATATATATATATATATATTTTGTGTATATATATATTTTGTGTGTATATATATATATATATATATATATATATATATATATATATATATATATATATATATATATATATATATATATATATATATATATATATATATATATATATATATGTATATACATATTGTATATATAAATATTTATTTATTTATATACCAATATAAAAAAAACTAAGAATGTATTATTACTTATGGTAGATTTTAATAACATTATTTTTCATGTTAAAATGTATAGATGGTACATAATTATAAACCAAAGCGACAAAAAAATTATAATGCAGAAATTTTTCAGGCTGCTCTGCAAACCATTATAGATGGAGAAACTATTTCAACTGCAGCAAAACAAATTAATATTCCACGTACAACGTTGATTGATAAATTACGGGGAAAACATCAAACACATTCTATAGGTGGTAAAACAATTTTCTTTAAAAATCAAGAAGAAACTCTTGTTCAAAGGCTGCTATATATGGCTGATAGAGGGTTTCCTCTCACAATAATGTGGTTAAGATCTGCTGCTTATTTCTATGCCAAAAGCTTGTGTAGACGTCATTTATTACAGAAGTCCATTCCAAAAAGTTGGCAAAATAAATGTTTGGCATCACGTGATTGGTTTCTCTCATTCCGAAAAAGGCATACTCAGTTGACACTAAGAATTCCTGAAGGGCTTTCTCGAGCAAGAGCAGAAGCATTTAATGAGAATCGCGTTCAGACATTTTTTAACGATTTACAACCTTTTTATGAACAGCTTGACATAAAAAATTATCCAAATTTGATTTATAACTGTGATGAAACTGGCCTTTCATCTGTGCCAAATGTCTCTGTTAAGGTAATAGCATTAAAGGGTTCTCATCAGGTACAAAAGTTAACTATTGGTGAACGTGGCACACTAACAACATACCTGGCTACTGTTAATGCAGCAGGAGACAGCTTACCACCATTTTTCATATTTAAGGGAACAAAGATTCCAGATGCATCTAAATTTCTTTTGGGTACAAAAGTGCATTGTAGTCAAAGTGGATATATTGATCAAGAGATTTTTATTGCTTATTTACATCATTTTAATGAGTTTTGTACAAAAGTGAATGGGAAAAAAGTATTGTTATTTTTGGATGGCCACAAAAGTCATGTGACTATTGAAGCGATTGAATTAGCAATAAAGATGGATATTGAAATAATAGCATTCCACCTCATAGTACACATCGCCTTCAACCACTTGACACACATGTTAATAAAGTAGTTAAACATATGTGGTCTGAAGCCTTGTCTAATTACTTAGCTGAAAATGATGATATTTCTTTGCCTCTTTGCAACTTTCACATTATTTTTAACAAAATATGGCTAAATATACTTACAAAAAGAGGATTGATTGTTAATGCGTTTTACCATTGTGGTTTGCATCCCCTAAGAAACCCAGTAAAAGATTTCGAATATAAAAAAGCAGAGGTTTTTAATAAAGCAACAATTCACCAGGGAGACCAAAATTTATCTATTTTAAGGACTATTATACCTTCTCCTGAAAAAAAAAGGAAACCTACTCATTCAAAACGCCACATTGCTCTTATTACATCACCAGGTAATGTTAAGTTAATAAAAGAGCCTCCTGCTAAAAAGGCTGCAATAAAAAATGTGGTCAGTGTTAAACAGAAGTCAAAAAAGGATCACGATAAATCAGTTAAAACCAAATCAAAAAAGACTTTTTTTTCAGCTGATTCTGATCACCCAAGTTCTTCAAGTTTTATTCTAAAAAATAACACTGATAAAGACTTTTGTTTTGTTTATGCATCTGTTTGGGCAGAAGCAAGTGAAGATTGGCTTAAATGTTTAAATTGCAATCAGTGGGCATGCGAAGGATGTTTTGGAGTTGATACATGTGCAAATTGTGTGCAATGAACATATAAACGTCTTGTAAATTTTTAAATAGTCATAGTAGTGATATGATTTTTGTTATTTAAGTAGTCATAGTAGTGATACGATTTTTTGTTGCTTTAACGTGCTATTTTTTGCGCTAGCGCGGTTATACGGTTTTCATTTATGCTAAAATCATTATTTGATATTTTCTTGGAAAAAGTTTAACAACTGATGTCCTTTTAGATGTCCTTTTTGATGTCCTTTTACCCTAGGCCACTGCAGTCGAGGAGGCTACTTTAGTTGTGTTTACAACCCTCTCTCAACTCTATAACTCCGAAACACGAACCTTGACGATCAAGGTTCGTGTTTCGGAGTTATAGAGTTGAGAGAAAAACAAGTTGAGCGCAGTACTACCAGGGACGCGGTGGGAATCGAACTCGCAACTTCTAGGTTTACTTCTAGATTAGGGAAATCATCCTACTGTGACCTCAAAAATGTTTTATGTCAAAGTTTTTTTCTCCTAGGTAAGTTGTCTTTACCACTAGAAAGGAATTTTGTCTATCGCCCGAGTCACGAATTTTTAAATTAGTTTAGCTGTACTGACGAATTCGCCCCGTAATTGACGAATTCGCCCCTCATGACTTGATGATGAAAAAATCAAATTATACGCTAAAGTAACTTTAGAATTCATTTTGATTCAATACATTAACAAAATAGAGACCCTAATTAATAAAAAAAAGTTTTTAAACTAGAAAAGTTCACTTATTTATATGCATTTGTTGCTCTCTGCTACCAAAAATATTTTTGCCAGATTTACAGCAAGTTAAAAACTTAGCAAAAAAGATTTTATATTATAATTACAAATATAAAATTAAAATGTGCTATAATGCCTTCCACTAGCCCCCCTCCTTGATCCGCCACTGGCTATAATACAAACTTTGTAACAACAAATATTGCTAAGAATAGTTTGTGACAACTTATAGGAATAGATGAAGCCACAAAAGTTGCAAGCAAGATAAGCTAGCAACTAATAAACAACTACTTACTACAATAAAGACAGTGATTGAACAACTTAAATATTTTGCCTCCTATATTTTGTAAACTAAGTTAGCAAAATGTAGGAGAAAAGAGATACAATTTAACCATTTGCATTAACACACTACTAAACATCCAATACTGACAATGCTACTGAACATTAACAGTTTACAAGTGTTTTTTTACATTTATTGAAACTGCTTTTTGTTGCCGAGAACAAGTGAATTTTACTTATAACATAAACTTTATGTTACTATTTCTTCCTCTTGGTGTAGCTGTGCTATTAATTATTAAGTTAATTTCATTTTGTTGTTTTAATTTCCTAAAACAACAAATCTTAATAGATACACAATTAAAATATGCAGCTAACAATTAGATATAGAACTTGCGGCTAGCTACAAAGCTAATATGGGTAGCTATTTACATGCTTTAACAATATCATTAACTACGATATGAAGTTATCAAGAAGTCATAATTACATTGTCATTTACAAAGTTACCAGGGATGCGTGAATGCTTTTTAATGATTAGTGTCATTAAACATTAACATTTACATTTGGTCCCATAAAACATAAGCATTCATATTTGGTGTCATAAAACATCAGCATTCATATTTAGTGTCATAAAACGTTAACATAAATATTTAGTGTAATCAAGCATTAACATTCATATTTACAAACAATTAAAAATGTCTTATAATCCAATTTTAGTGATATATTGACGTCTAATATATCATCGCCTTTACCCAAGCTGAATTTATTTTCGATCAATGTTTTGTTATTTTTTGTTTGTGATTTAAAACAGTTTTCACCCGTTGCCCTATACAACTTCCGGCATCTCTGCTCCAATATGTAACATCATAACTATTAACATTTAACTTCATTATATGTTAAAAGTAGGGCGGACGTGTATTTCAGCCACCCTCTTTAAGACGTTCGTAAAAAAGTCTTATGCGAAACGAATATTGTTGAAAACCATACCCTAACTTTTTTTCTAAAGGACCTTTTTTTTTTTACGAAAATTCTAGATATAGAAGTCTTTTTTTAAGAATTGACGATTGTGCCCCCCCCCCCCCACTTCGAAACCCGTGTCGTCGGCCCTGAAACCCTAACCCTGATCATTAGGGTTAGGCTCAGGGTTTGGCTTAGAGTTTAATTAGGGTATAATTTTCAATAAAATAAACTTTATGGCTAGGTTTAGGGTAAAGTATGGTTTTCAACAATTGTTATGCGTTAAACGTATGACTCGTTTTTTACGGGCTTACTAAATGGGGTGCCTCAAATACACGTCCACCACAAGTAGTAAGTAACATATAGCACAAAGCTCTCCTATGTAGCATATCGTAATACAAGTTGTCTTTGACAACGAGCATTAATGCGAGAGAAATAAAAGTTGTTTAAAAGCCACTATATTTTACACTGTACAACAACTAATACGTTTAAGTTTAAATTGTTAGACTAATAAACTAAAGTTATTAAATAATTATTCAATTGTTAAGTGAATGTCAAAATATGTTTTTTTACTTGAGTATTTTTGCGTTGGAGTAGCGTAGGTTATAAAATGCTAATTAATTAATTGCTAATTGCCACTTAAGCCACATTTGGATTTGAATTTTAACTGTTAATCATGCAGTGTAAACAGTTGCGAACAATGACACGGAAATATAAATTGCTACAAATCCGTCGCTTTTCTTAATTCAAACAAATTAGTGTTTAACAATAAACAATATATAGTGATTTAGGTAACAAAGTAATCAAAAATAATCTATTAAAAATCGTTTTATATCTTTTATACACAAGTATATATATATATATATATATATATATATATATATATATATATATATATATATATATATATATATATATATATATATATATATATATATATATATATATATATATATATGTCTTTGTGTATAAAAGATACATAATACTATATTTGTTAGCTACATAATAATATATTGCTTATATAAGAAATGGTTTATATTGTATAAAGTAAATATGGGTAAAGTCTCAGGAAAAATTAGCAGGATTTTTTATCCTCCTGGAGTGACTCATCTTAATTCAACTGTTGCAACAGCACTTTTTCTTATTCTGGTTAGTTACTATTTTTCTAACTACCTAATGTTTTTTTTTATAATAGATAAATTAAAATGATATTTGTCTTGGTTTTTTAGGTGAGTTTTAGAGATCACAGGGAAAATATTAAATTTTATTAGATTTTAATGAATCCACTATGCTCTCTTATAAAAATTAATACAACGATAACCTTAAATAAATAAAGATATTTATAAAGTTATTCTTTTACATTTTACTAAAACTGCCTTTTTCTTAAATTGATTTTTATGATTTTTCTATGATTTGTAAGGTTTATATGCTAAATTAAGAGATTGTATAACAAATATTTTTATTATTTTTAAAATTAAGCTAATTATTATTATAATTATTCTAAATAAATTTATTTATTGGTTTCCATTTAAAATGAAAATTTAGACTATTTAATAATGATATTAAACTGTCAGAGCATATAGTTATAAAAAATAAATTGATTAATCAAAGTTATAATAATATTAAATTCAAAATTTTTTCTTGTGTTCAAGTACTCTAAATAAAAAAAAATCTGTGAGATTTAATGATTTGCAACATATTATTTTTAAGCCTGGAGTCCCAGAATCCTGGAGTCTTTGCTGCAATTATACATAAGGACTCCAGTTTTACAAATTGATTGTTCTTCTAACTTATAAGTCTAAATTTTTTTCCCATAAGTAGTTCATAAGTTTCTTACATTTCAAGTTCATAAGTTTTTTTTATTTTCACCAAAGACAAGAAAGAAATAATCATTTTGTGATTTTCAAATCCGGAGTCCTTTTTTTGACTTCACATCCATGGTAGTAAGTTTTATTTTAATATAGTTATTGTCTAACTTGTTTTTTGTTTTATTAATTTTTTCTTGTTTGCAAACTTTGTTTGATTTAATTCTTACAATTCTGTTAGTAAAAAAGTATATCTTAACAAACACGATTTAATGAGCTACTTAGTGATAAAATGATTTTTTACATGAAGATAGTTGATATATAATGGGTTTATGACGGTTTCATATTTTTTGTGGATTTTGTATTGGAAGATTAGGCCACCTCTTGCTCTTCTTTTTTCTAAAGACATAAATCCTAATCTTTTTATTTGGTCTTTGTAGCTGTAATTTCTTAACTCATGAATAATTTTTGTCATTCTTTTTTGTATTCTTTCTACAGTTTTAATGTAACCTTTTAAGTATGGACACCAGAGAGGTGTTGTTTATTTAAAATGAAGTTTTACCAAAGATAGATACAATGGCCTTATTATATTTTTATTATTAATTTCAAAAATTTTGCTTATTAACTCTAAAAGACAGGCTTTATTATTTATAATTGCAATATATTCTTTCAATTTTAGGACTTTTGTAAGCTATGCACCTAAATCTTTTTTTTTCAGTTGTTTCACTTTTATATTTGTTTAGTTTGTAGCTATAACTCTATAAACTGGTTATTTTGATGAAAGTGCATTACCTATTCCCATATTTTATTAACAGCTTGTTTTAAAATCTGTTTCATTAGAAATAGTAGCTATAAACTTTGTGTTATCTACAAACAATTTGCTTTGACATCTAATACTGTCCAATAAAGTCAATTCTCGATAACTTAAACTTAGAGACCAAGTAAAATGACTTGTATTAAGGAATGTTTGACTAAAACGAATTCCTGTTAAGTTGAACTTTGGCTGATATGAGGTATTAGTTTGAGTTAAGGCGATTTTTTTTTATTCAATAATAAAATATATACTTTAAATATTTATTATTATTCTAATGTTACAATCAATAAAGTTTTCGATTGTATTCACACAGTACAGTACAGTAAAAAAATAACATTTAAAATAGTTTAGCGACCAATGACTTTCTTATTATTTGGTAAAATAAATTGTGCCTAAAAGGTCTTTAATTATTTCATCTTATAGGCTGGCACAGATGTATTTTTAATACATTGTTTCCAGTTTAGGATGTTGAATGCTGGATCTTCTTGACTCGATGCATGGGTTTTGCTTGTGTCTCTGTTTTTAAGACTAGGCAACTCATTCTATTATCTCCTAATGAGGGTACAGCTCTAAAACTCAGTTTTACTGTTCTGAGACCGGCTTGTAGTCAGGTTTCCCGAACTCTGTGATAGCTCTCAGAGAGGCTGATTCCATCAACAGCTGAAAAATATCAAAGTATTAATAGTGCCATGTTGCGCATGGATGGTTTCCCTGTTTGTACTTATGGTGTGAATTACCAAGGCCACATTTGGAGCCATTTGTTACAGCTTTATTAATAGTAATGAGGCAATTGCTTGGGTTATTAAATAGTGTCTTGTGTACTATCTATGCTTGGAGTCAAGTTCTTTAACAAATTTAAAAATGAATAAAGTACCGAAAACTTTAAAACACAAAAAACCATTGTCATCACCAAGTTATCTAAACTTATCATTCACTAATAATCGTGGTCTTCAAAGTAACTTTTCTTCTGTTCTGTCTTATCTCTTGCAAAGTTCACTAGACCTACTTCTTCTTTGTGAAACTAATTTGAGTTCAGCTGTCTCATCTTGTGATCTTAGTGTTGATGGTTATCTTCCTTTAATTCATAAAGACTCCAATAGTCACATGCTTGACCTGGGTATTTACATTTGTAAGAATTCACTCATTTGTCAGAAAACTAGGTTTGAATCTACAGACTGTTCTTTTATGTGCTTTTGTTTAGTACCATTTCACTCTATTGTCTTTTTCTTTGTGCTATATCACTCTCCTTCATCTCAAGACTGCAATCTTTTTGATGTTATTTCTGATCATATTGACCAAGTCCTCTCTCTTTATCCATCAGCCAATATTGTTGTTGCCGGTGACTTTAATGCTCATCACACTGAATGACTTGGCTCTAGTGTCAGTGACTCTGCGGGCATTAAAGCCCATAACTTTTGCCTTTCTCAATCCCTAACTCAAATAGTCTCTGAAGCCCGCTATTCTCAGCCCACTATTCTCATTCATCACAAAAATTAGGCTTTCGTGACTTCTGGAGAATCTTTAAAAGTATCAATAATAAGAGCAAATTTGTAATTTTGCCTCTCTTGTATAGTTCAGACTTTGTCACCTCACCTAAAGACAAAGCTAAATTGTTTGCTAAGAACTTTTCATCAATATCATCTCTTGATTCTACTAGTTGCATTCTACCTAATATAGCCATCAAACAGGTTGATCCATTCTTGACATTTGTATCACTCCAGTTTCTGTATCTAAAGTTGGTATTCGCTTCCTTCATTTTACTTTCCTGATTCACATAATTTGCAATCCTTTAAGTTTTCTGTCAATCGTTATCTTGCTCTACAATCTTTATCTTTTCTCTTCCAGTAACTTCCAACTCTAATTAGTGGTTGCTTGCAGCCTTGTTGGAAGCGAAGATGTATCTAAAAAAAAAAAAAAAATAGGAATTCATCTAGTTATAATTATTTTTTAATGTTTTTATCATGATTTATCTTTTAATAGTTTTATTATAGCATTATTTTATGTGTGATAATGACCTATTCTATTCAGAAATAAATACAACAAAATAAATAAATAAAATATTAGGCTACAGTTATTTATGTTTTATATGGAATGACTTCTTTTTTAAAAAAATTTTCAATTATGTCAATATTAAGTTTTTTTACTTTCAATGCAAAAAGTTATCCCAAGAAATTTGTTAAAAGAAGACAAAAAAATAGTTCGACTTAACTGGAGAATAATCAATTTCAAGGGACCAAATTAAATAGTTTGAGATAATAAACGTTCAAGTTAATCAGAGTTTGACTTAATGGGAATAATCTATATATCATAAATATATAGAATAATTAGTATAAGTCCCAGCGCCTAGTATAAGGCACTTTGCAAGTTACCTGTGTCCAATTTGATCTTCATTTCCAACATAACTACAAGCATTTTGAACCGAGTTGAAAGTTAAGTTACCGGAAGAGAAAATAAAGTTTATAAAGCAAGATAACAATTGACAGACAACTTAAAAGATTGCAAATTATATGAATCAGGAAAACAACATGAAGTGAGTGAATTCCAAAGAACTGTTGTTTGAGAAAAAAAACTAGATGAAAATTATTTTTGGAGTACTTAGGAACATACGCACTAAGCCATTTTATTTATGCGGTAAGCCATTTCTGTTGAGCCATTTTTTATCATTTTTTGATATTTAAACAAGTTTAAAGATATTGTTTAAGCGGTAAGATAAAAGAAGTAATTAACATTTTAAAAACTACTTATGAAGTTTGAATGACATTACATAAAAGTTTTTTTAAAAATTACGGTTTATATTTCAGGCTTGGTTGAGTGTGATTGCACTTTATTTCTGACCACACAAATTATAGTTGAAAAACCTGGCTACGGCTTTGAGAAGATTTAAATTTATGTATGTTTCCATGTATGTCTGAAACTTTTTGACATGCAAAAACATTTAAATTCGTAAATAATCTTTTGTACTCAAATGATTTATTATTAGCAAGTACTTAACGATGATTTACTTTTATTGATTGATCATAAAAAGAAAATTTTTATTTTTATTTTTCAAATTATATAAAGTTAAGTATTTTTTTTATTTTTAATTTTTTAAACATCTTCGCTTCCAACGAGGCTGCAAGCAACCACTAATTAGTGATGGAAGTTACTGGAAGAAAAAAGATGAAGATTGTAGAGTAAGATAACGATTGACAGACAACTTAAAAAATTGCAAATTATATGAATCAGGAAAGCAAGATAAAGGAAGCGAATTCCAAAGAACTGATGTTGGAGGGAAAAAACTAGATGAATAAGAGTTTTCGGAGCACTTAGGAACAGTAACAGAAAAAGGATGAGACTTAATTGAATAACGAGTAACACGAGAATGAATTTTAGTAGATGACACAAGAGACGCTAGCTCTTTAGAGTGCCCATTATAGGATTTGTAGAAAAGAGAAAGAGAAGGAACATTACGACGATGTGACAGAGGTTGAAGGTTGGCTGCAAGAGCAGGTCCAACTATGTTTACAATGCGTTTTTGCACCTTGTCTAAA